AGGAAAGATGAACAGCGATGAGATAATTTAACACGTGCCAGGGGCTTTCACATAAATTGTGTTATCAAAATCTCACAGCAATCCTTTGAGGTCTGTTCTATTATTTTATTTTTTTATGAGCGAACTGGAGTGTATGGAGATTAATCAGTTTCCCAGAGTCCCATTGTTGGTGGCTGAGTGGTGTCCAAGGCTGGCCCACCTGACTCGGACACTCAGCATGCCCCGTGCCCTCCTTCACATCATCCCTCATCCCACTAGCCGGCCCACGGCAGCCCTCGGCCTTGGTGCTCACAGTGACCAGGCACAGGAGGGGGGACCAGAGCACAGGAGGGGGACCATCATGTCATATTTGAGTTTTAAAGAGAAAAGGAAACTGGAGGAAATATAAGCACTAGATTGGAGGACAAGTGGAAAAGTTAAACAAGTCAATAACTCAGAGGAAGCTGGAAACTATGCAGAAGCACCTTATTGAAGGGCCATGATCCCTGTGAGCTGAAGATGAGAAATACGGGCATGCATAATAGCACCCACCAGCGTGACTTCCGAGCTGAGTCCAGGAGGCCTTTTCTGTGGAGAAAAGGCAACTTTTGAAAGTCACTGACGGGTTATTTTCCTTTGACTATCTCTCTTATATTTCTCAGTCCTATGCCTTCTTTTCTTCCTGCCACCTGCTTTCTCTCTCCATATTCCTAAGCAGTAGCTCCAGCTCCTTGTGTGTTAGGGTTTAGAATGTAGAGATACCGGGCTTTTCTAGTTTGACTTCCTATGGGGCTCAGAGTCTTTTCCACAGCATCACAAATGTGTTTGAGACTTTTTTGAAAACATTCCTTAGAAACACATCTTTTCAAGCCACCTTGTTGGACAGCTCTGACTTTTGGTGTCTTTCTCCAGGCTGCAGTCTGTTGCCTGAGTTCTTCTACCCACTGTTCTGGCGTCATCTTTTTGAGCACAGCAGAGGAAGTCTTCTTTATCTTCTATGTTAGTTAGGCTGTTTGTCTTCTGTTGGCCTATGTTATGCTTAATACAGTAAAGACACAGAGCCAGCCCCCAGGAAGTCACAGTACAGAGAAGGCATGTAAACAGATAACTGCAGGGCACTGTGGGAGGGTCAGCAGTGGATACGTTCGTGCGTGTGTGTAAAGAGAACGGTGACGTATAAAGGCGAAGGGCAATAAGAGGATCACAGAGGAGGGGAAATTTGAACTCCTGCTTGGTTTGTCGTTGGTTGCATTCTCAGAAGCCCCATTGTCCGAGATGAAGTCTGGTGGCCATGGTCTAGTTGCTAGGACAGCTGGAACAGCATTTTCAGTTTCTGTAGTGGGAGGTGGCGTTGCACTCAAGGAGGGAAGGGACTTGGGGTTGAGCTCCACAGAGGAGAAGCGGCCAGAGGCAAGGAAACCAGAGTAGGAGCTGGTGTGGGAGGTGATGAAATCCTTACCAAGCCTTCCCTTCTCCACCTCGGCCAACTTAGGTCTCTTTATTGGTTTTCAGTCTGACTTGGCTTCCAAACCCTCACTCTCACCTGTCCACTGTCCTTCTGCCCCCAGCTCCTCAGTGTATTCTTAACCTGTGATGCCCAGAGCAGAACCTAGATAGAGTTCATCCAGTGCAGAGTGTGGGAGAAATGTTTTACCTGGGATCTCTTTAGCTAGTTCTTATGAATGCAGTCTGACATTGCCTGTGTGTTGACTTTTTTGTTGACTGACACTTGTAACCTGGGTTAAATTTATAGCGAATTCTAATTTTCAGGGTTTTTTATGTAAACATTTCTATTCCTGCCACATCACCCACGTATTGAAACGTATCCCACGGTGAATTATCTTATACAGTGAAGCATCATTTTAAAAACAGAGATTCCTGTAATGTTGTTTCTGCCTCTCTATCGTATCCAGTACATTCTTCTGTAGTTATTTACGTACTTGTATCACCCAACATGTGGGCCACATAAAGAACTCTGCGTCTCAGGCAGTTTATAGACCTTTTGAAATGTTTTGCATTATAGCCATTAAGAAAATAAGTAAATAAAAGAAAGCAAAACTTGCCATCAGGCGTGATGCCTGTCAAGCATCTCAAATGTAGGCATGGGCAGTGACTTTGGCGATCACTCAGTTTGCCCCATTCCTGGGCCTTTATATGAGTCATCATGTACTTGAAGCATGGTGGTTTATGGCTTTTTCCCTTTGACCTTGGAAAGTAATGTACAATTCTGTCTGTTTCATGATCTCATCTTTTTTTTTTCAGTTTGATGTCAGCACATTTAGGGTTGACCTTTAGCGTTGGTTCGGTTCTCAGAAGCCCCCCGGAACCCCCTCCTCAGGCCCCATTGTCCAAGATGAAGCCCAAGGAACCAGAGTAGGAGCTGCTGTGATAGCTGGTATGAGAGTACGGTGCATCGTTAAGGCCCTTTTCAAGTCCATTAAAAAAGTTCCACTAGGTCTAAAGATGATCCGAACACCTGGATTCTGGAGACAAGCACCAAAAGCTGTTCACTTATGGACCCTAGAAAATGAGAATGCTTGTTTTGATCCATCTGCCCCATCAGCCAGGTTCCGTCCTTGTCTCATGGTGACGACTTTCCTCCAACCAGCATGTCTTCCTGAGAATCAAGCATACTTCTTTCATTTCATCTTCTCCCTTCAGGCACTCGTTGGTGCACTTATGTGCAGGAGGGCCTGTAGGCTAACCTGAATCACAGGAAACGTGAACTGACCACGTTGCCTCTGGCAGCTCCCCTTGGTTTCTCCCATGGCTCCAGTGTCTGCGTTATTACTGCCTGGCTTCAATTCCACCTCCGTGATGACACCACATCCCAGCGCTTTACCAAACCCTCACCGTCTGCCTGCTTTCCTGCTGATCCTCCTTCCACCCACCCATCCATCCATCCATCCACCCAGGGACGTCCCAGAGACGATTATGTTCCCTGTGTGCTTGTCTTCTGTAGAAGTGATTCTCAGCAGGCTATTTTGGGTTTTGTGGCTGTGATTTTAAGAAAGAGAAAACTCCTTTCCATTCCTTTGCTATATATTCCTTTCACTTAGGAATCTTGAATAGCATGCATTCAGGAGATTGTGCTTTTGTTCTCTACTTTGATATTGAAGCTTTTCTTACCTCTCAGGCTAATGCCAAGTTCAGCCATGTGAAGTTAGCTATTGTTCTGTCTGTGGCTGACATATTGATTCTGTAGTGTGTTTGCAAGTACTTTGAACCCATTCAATTCATTCTCTACAGCATGGGCACAGATTTAAGGCACAGACTTAAAGCAGAAATTTAGTCCTGCCATCCTCCTGCTTCAAACTCCTTGGTGCCTTACCATTGCCTCTCAGAGGTGACAGATGGGAGGCTGCAGGTCAGATGTGGCCCCAGATGTGATTTGCCTGGCTCCCACATTGTTTTAAGAAATTTTAAAGTCAACCTTGAAAAGTCAGAAGATTTCATGGAAACATCTGAAATTGCAGTTTTTGTTTGAGCCGTCAGAAGGTCTAGGCACTCTGCCTCTGTCCTTTCTGGGGGGCCCTTGGCTGGGGCTTGTGCTCTGCTGTTTGCCACACCAGCAGCTTCACGCACTCACACCACTTGATTGGTTCCCGTGAGCACTTGAGTTTCATCCCCTGACTCTCACCAAAGGCACACCCCAGGCTTCTCATGGGCATCCAAGGCCTCTGGGACTTAGCTCTTACTCCCTCACCAATTTTGTCTCTCCCCCTTGCTGCTTCATCAGGTTGTAGCCGTATAGTATGCTCGGCTAATGTCCTACTCATTGTCTTTGCTGTCCCTTTCTTAGATGGAATATTGCCATTTTTTATCACACCTGCTTCCTTCCCCTCCAAAAACACCAAAAACCAAACCAGTTACCGTTGAGTCAGTTCTGACTCATGGCGACCCCATATGTTGCAGAGCAGAACTCTGTTCCATAGGGTTTTCATGGCTGTGACCTTTTGGAAGCAGATCACTAGTACTTTTTTCCAAGGTGCCTCTGGGTGGGTTTGAACCACCAACCTTTTGGTGAGTAGTCAGGTGCTTAACGTTTGCACCACCCAGGGACTCCCTTGCCCCTATATGCCGTTACCTCATGTCTGTTCCTCACATCCCCCAGCCATTGCTTGCACACACTTGCTTTTCTGTTTAACTGAAGCATTCCCTCCCCCATGAAGGGTTCTCTGACTTCCCAAGTGGATTCTACCATCCCTTCCCATCATTGTCAGTTATCATGCCTTCTCATTTCAATCAGCGCACCGCGGACTGTCCTTGCTTGCACTGTTGGTTTGCATGTCTGTCTCCCCACGGGACTGTGAGTCCCTTGAGGGCAGAGTCTGTGTCTTAGCTGTGGTTTCATCCAAAGTGCCTGGCACAAAGAAGGCACCTAGCAAATGTATGGTGAGTAGATGAGTGCTTGCTTTCTTGGACTTTAAATCTTGGAGACTGTATCTTCTCTGCCATGTGGTTTATTAATGATGCTGAAGTCTCTTGGCTTCATGAAGACAAGAGACAATGTTTGTTTTATCCCGGGCCTAGATGGTGGCCTATGGTAGGAGCTTCATAAATATTTGTTGAATTGGACAAAAGACAGAAGGCCAAAGATGGTCCCAGAAGTGATGCGATGGGTCTCCACAGTACTGTGGATCTAAGATTTTATATATATAAAACACACCCATTGCTGTCGAGTCAATTCCAACTCAAAATGACCCTACAGGACAGAGTAGAACTGCCCCATAGAGTTTCCAAGGCCGCAGTCTTTATGGAAGCATATTGCCATATCTTTCTCCCATGGAGTGGCTGGTGGGTTTGAACTGCCACCCTTTGGGTTAGCAGTCAAACGCTTAACCACTGTGCTGCCAGGGCTCCTATATATGTGTATGTGTATTTATATATATATATTATATATGTGTATTTTTAGATGTGTATTTATTTCCTTTACTAGCCCATAAAGGATTATGTTTGCTCTCCAATTCTATCATTGATATAAAAGGATATTTTATATATCTTTGGTATTTGCTTCTTAGGTAATGAGTCTGACCTTGAACTGGAAAAAAAATATAAGGAAGACGATCGAGAAAAGGCCTCGAAAAGACCCCGGGCACAGAAAACGGAGAAAATCCAGAAAATCTCCTCGGGAAGGGAGACTGGGCAGCTTTCTGGAGTGAAGAAGCCCATCATAAGCGTGGTTCTAACTGCACATGAAGCTATTCCAGGTGACCACAACCAACGGGACGTGGCGAAATGAAACTCTTTGGGCACGTCTGTACCAAGGGTAGCCTGACGTAATAGTATGAGACTGGCTACTGGGCTTGGATCCTGTGATCCTGAGCAGGGCACTCGCTGATGGGGCTCTCCATCTGATTACCCGTTAGGTCAGGAAGACAGCAGACCTACTTACTGCCCAGGGCTGTTGTGAGCAACGCATAGGAAGGACCCAAAGCCCTCAGCAAAGGAAAGGTCGTGAGGGCCGCTGCCTCTGCGCCCCCACCTCTCCTGACCACGGCCTGCCCTTATTGTAGCAGCCAGAGCAGAGTGTTTCTCCTCTTCGCCACCCCCTGCCCCAACCAGCCCCTGGTCTGGGTGTGCTCCTTCCTCCTACCTGCTCTCAGCCATGCCATCCCTGGGGTACTGTGGACGCCGCTCAGCCAGGCTGCTTCTCTAAAACCCTGCGACTTATTTTCCCTCCGCCTAACTTCTCTTTTGTATTTTTAGTGGGTTTCATAAAATGTTTATGATATTGGCAATTTCCATCTCCATCTCCTTTCTCATAAAATAGCTGATGGGTATGTTCTACTCTCTTTCTTTAAAAAGGTCTCTTCCAAGATGGGGCCTGGCTTACTTCTCCTAGTGCTGCTGAAGTGGGTGGCTTTGAAGAACAGAAATTTATTTTCTCACAGTTCAGGAGGCTAGAAGTCCGAATTCAGGGTGTGGATCTAGGGGAGGTCCTTCTTTGTCTCTTTCAGGTTCTAGTAGCTGGCCATCCTTGGTGTTCCTGAGCTTGTAGATTCATCTGCCTTATTCATCATCACATGGTGTCTGTCTTCTGTGTAGGCGTGCTTCTGTGTCTCCTCTGCTCTTTTTATAACGCAGGAATGCTTAGGTTTAGGACACACCCTACACTGATATGACCTCAACTGATTGATGGATTACATTATGGAAGTTGATTACATTATATTACATTAAATTAGATTACATCCACAGGGATAGGATTTAGGATTCCAACATGTATTTTGGAGGGACACAATTCAATCCATAACAGGACACTGTAGACAAGCAATTTATGATAGTAGACTCCAAAGTATAATAATTTTTTTCCTATGCATTTATGTGGTAGCTGTCAGATAAAATTTAAAAAGTCAGGTTTAGAATTTTAAGAAAATAGAAATTGTAAGCATCTATTTTCAGTGCCAATATGAAAATACCAGAAGAGAATTTCCTGTTCTCAATAGTCTCTAGACAAAGTTTCCACAATTTCTTCTTAAAAATTAGTAGTAATATTTTGAGATTTCTGTAAGTGGGTGTAAAAAGTATAATTAATTTACTTTGCTATTCCAGAAGTAAGGGATAGATTGGAGCCTTTTAACTAATGCAGTGGATACACAAAAACACACACACGTGTATGTACACATTACAGATGAATTGTCCACTGCTGCAAAAGGTCTTTGATCATCTCATATTATAGAATTGCAGAAGTAAAAGTGAGCTTTGATATTTTCTGCTTCAAACCCTCATTTCATCAGGTGGAAATGGAGATGCAGAGATGTTAAGCTAGTGGCATGTTTGGGGTGGGACTCCAGGTGGCTTAAATTCCAGTTCACAGTTTATTATACTCTTCCATACAACTTGGAGCCCTGGTGACGCAGTGGTTAAGAGCTTGGCTGCTAACCAAAAGGTCAGCATTTTGAATCTACCAGCCGCTCCTTGAAAACCCTATGGGCAGTTCTACTCTGTCCTGTAGGGTCACTATGAGTCGGAATTGACTTGACAGCAACAGGTTTGTTTTTTTTTTTCCATATTACTTAACATAGTTTTAAATTCACTGAAACACATGTGGTCCTATATAAAATTTTCCAAGTAACTAATCTACACAAATGTTGTGTATATAGATGTATGTGTGTGTGTATAACATAAGCAGGTAAACTGAAAATGTAGGCCAAGAATACATTTTGGCAGAGTATTAGAAAAATGCCCCCTACAGACACACAGAGAGAAGGAAGTTACATGTGTGAACTGAAAGAAAACTAATAGCTTGCATAGTACTGTACAGTAAAGAAGTACACCCCCCAGAATGGCCCCTCCTTGGGGTGGGATCAGCGCCCCCTCGTGGAGCCTCTTTAACAAGCAGTGCATTGTGTATCCATGTCAGGTGCTACCAAGATTGTTCCAGTGGAAGCAGGGCCCCCGGAAACAGAGGCAGCGAACCCCGAGACCACTGTGGCAGACCTGGCGCATCGCAGAGGGTACCAGGAGTACGCCATCCAGCAGACGCCATATGAGCAACCGATGAAGTCAAGCAGGTAAAGGGTTTTATTCCATGAAACTCCAAAGGCTGAACACCAGTGACCTCCACGGAGGGAAGAGGGCCCAGCACATTGGTCTATCAGGACTCAGTGTACAGATTTGTCTGTAAAGGAGATGGGGTTCTTGATGTAACCTGAGAGTTAACCTCCATTGCAGCCATTGGTGTGTTGGTTGAGTCTGAGTTGTGCTGTGAAATATGTGACAGATCAACATTCTTGTGGAACCAAGCACCAAATGGTTTAATGACGGTAGAGCATTTTACTTAAAGCGAGAATATGTTTGACCTTGTAAGAAAGTGTGAACTGGTGTAGCAAGTGTGAACAGGGCTTTGCTTCACGAATTTCCTGTTTACAGCTGCACCAGACATTTGTTGTCTCAGTTTTTCCATATTATAATGAAAACAGTTCTGTATTTTTCACAAACCCTATATTCAGAAGCAATACAAGCATGTTGTAGAAGGTTCTAATATCCCATATGATGTAGAGTTTAAGTACCCCATAATTATTCCTGTCAGAGGTAACTTCTATTGACAGATTGGATCATATGCTTCCAGATTTTTTTTTTGTGATATGCTAACATATATTGCTTCAATTTCATTGTTATTTTTTCCAAAATGAAATACCAAATACACTGTTGACAAGTGATTTTTTTTAACTTAGTACACCTTGAGAATTTTCCATTTCCAGTGCATGTTTGAAAGTCAGTGTTTGCTGTTCCGTAATGGTCCTGTAGTTCATGAACCAGTTTTCTCTATCATCAGTGATGCACTTTCCATACTTCTTCAAGATTTTATGTGAGATGGATTGTTTGAAGGTGAAACTGCTGTATCAAAGGGTGTGAGTGCTCAAAATTTTAACGGACATAAAAAACTGACCTCCACATAACACCGGACAGGTTAACACTCCATCGATAGTGATTGAGAGGGTCTATTTCTCCACAGCCTCCCCGGGTTCTCAGTCTTTGGCTGTGGTATATACCTGCTGCAGTAGGTTATTAAACCCTGATCGCCTGAAGTCTGAAACCATTTTTCCCAGCTGAAAGGAAGGTAAAGGAAGTACCAGGCAAATGGTTTCCTGCTAGTTCTGGAAGAGGAAAGTGAAGTGTTCTTTTTTTTTTTTTGAATATATTAGAATATCTTTATTCCGGGGACCCGGTCACATTATTTTTCAGAAGCTGTTCAGAAAACCCACTTCCATGGAGATGATTCCAACTCATAGTGACCCGATAGGATAGAGTAGAACTGCCACCATAGGGTATGGAAAGTGAGGTGTTCTTTATGAGAGCATAATCTTCAGCATCTAACAGACCTGGGCTGGCTTTTGGCTCTCCTACTTGAGTTCACTCAACAGGTGGGGCACCTGTGACGTGCTAGGCACTGGTGCTAAGACAGAGCCCATCCTGACGAAGGCTTCACTCTTTTCAAACTTGACACAAATCATTTTGTCTCTGAGCCTCGCTTACATCAGCCATAACATGGTCTCATAGAATCTGATGTAGCTTAGAGGCGAGAATAAATGGTAGACTACATGTAAAGCGGCTGTCACATGTTGGGCTCTCATTAAATTATATTCTAATAGCACGTGGGGGATGCTTCAGTAATTAGTAACCTGACTCTTCTCTTCTTGTAAACGTGACCAGCAGAATTTATTGCGGAAGTTGTAAAAATACTCACTTTCGGGGCAAATCTGTAATCGAATAGACGTCTCAGGATCTGCCTGTGTCAGGTTGATTCATAGACCTTTCCTGCGTATCTTCACAATACGTCAGGGTCTCCTGGGGAGGGACTCAGCTAAATGCTAATCTAGTCACAGGTAAATGTACTTAGTGTTTAATCAGCAGATCTAGGCTGTGTTCTTCTTGTTGTGCATCCCATGAATATTTATGTGTAAATTATAAATGAGTTATGAAAGAGACATATTTTTTGCATGAGGATTTTGCTTTGCACAACATAGAAAAATCTTTTAGGTAATATTATTTTTTTTCTTAAAACCAATACAATACACAACTATTATATAGAGAATTTGGGAAAACCGGAAAACTGTAAGGAGAAAATCATGGGTGATCTCATCCCAGACTCAGAAACACCATTTGTCACATTATCCATATAATCACCATTAATATTTTTAATGTAGTTCCCTCCAGCCTTTTTTTTAGTGCATATGTTTTGTAAAACTGAGTTTATCTTTTCTATGCTATTTTGTATCTTGCCTTCAAAATGTAATCGCATTATGCTTATTTTCCTTTGTTTCTCAAATCAGTCACAAACCGACATGCTGTAACACCATGAGGGTGTCCTGCAATCTGCTGAACTCTCAGCACGGCAGCCGATGAGAGCTTTCTGAAAGGCCCATCTGACTGTTACCCTCTGAGGCTTCACATTGCTCCTAGGAGAACGGGGCCTAACAGGCGTGCTGCCTCTCCAGCCTTTTTCCCCACTCCCATTCCCCCTGTTCTCTGTGGTTGCCCCACTGGCCTTGCTTCACTTCCCTGCTCTCCTCTTTCAGGTGCCTTCCCTCTCCCTGGCATGCTTCCCGGTTACCTTCTGTTCCTGCCTCATCCGCTGGCCCAAGTATGGAGGCCTGAGGGAGGCCTCCAGTCTGGACCAGGGCCCCCTACTGTCACCCAGGCTCTCAGCCCTCTCCTTCTCAGCACCCGATGGTCACTGTTTTATGGTTACTAGGCCGGTGCCTCTGGGGCAGTGGTGGTTCAGTGGTAGGATTCTTGCCTTCTCCCCTAGTTATCTACCCACTGCTGTCAAGTCGATTCTGACTCATGGCGACCCTCTAGGACAGAGTAGAACTGCCGCCGTAGGTTTCCGAGGCTGTAGTCTTTATGAAAGCAGACTGCTATATCTTTCTCTTGTGAAACAGCAGGTGAGTTTGAACCTCTGACACTTTGGTTACCAGCTGAGAGCTTAAACCACTGCACCACCAGGGCTTCTTTTCCTAGTTATCTAGTGCTGCTATCATAGAAGTACCACAAGTGAGTGGTTTTAACGAACAGAAATTTATCTTCTCAGTTTAGAAGTCTGAATTCAGGACGCCGGCTTTAGGGGAAGGCTCTCTCTGTCTGCTCTGGGGGAAGGTCCTTGTCTCTTTTCAGCATCTGTTCCTGGGTTCCTTGGCAGTCATGTATCTTCCCCTCCGTTTGTGCTTGCTTGCTGCTTAATCTGCTCTTTTATATCTCAATAGAGGATGATTTAAGACACACCCAACGCTAATACTTCCTCATTAACAAGAAAACACATTCCCACGTGGAATTATAACCACAGGTATAAAAAAAACAAAACCAAAACCAAAGCTGTTGCCGGCAAGTCAGTTCCGACTCATAGCACCCCTATAGGACAGAGCAGAGCACCTGGTGGATTCGAACTGCTGACCTTTTGGTTAGCAACCATAGCTCTTAACCAGACGCCACTAGCGTTTCCAACCACAGGTTAAGGGGTTAGGATTTACAACACATATTTTTTAGGGATACAATTCAGTCCGTAATACCTTCTATATGGGAGACCCGGGTTTGATTTCCGGCCAAATGCATCCCAGGCATAGCCATCACCCTTCTATCGGTGCAGACTTGCATGTTGCTATGATACTAAGACAGACTAGGAAGAAAGGCCTGGTGATCTATTTCCAAAAATGGATTGCAAGGGTTCGATCCTGTTGTGCATGGTTTGCCGTGAGTCGGGGGCCAACTTGACGGCAGCTAACACCACCAACAGGCTGCCGTCCCCCTTCCCGCTGGCAGCTGAGCGCCGTGAGAGCCGGGCCTGTGCTTGCTCCCTGTTGTGTCTTCAGTGCCTGTAATACTGTTTGGAATGAATGAACGAGTGAAAAAAATAAATGGGCAAACTGGTTCCCTATGCTGGGACCTCCAGGCAGCTTCCGATTCCTCACTATTGTGCAGAATGGTGCATGAACACCTTGCCCTGGATTTTGTACCCTTTCTTTCAGTTAGATTCCCAGCAGCATAATAACTGGATTAAGGGGTGTGACCTTTTAAAGCTCTGCTAGATTGCTTTCTGAAACACAGTGGGTGAGAGTGCCTCTCTTCGCTGAATAGGGAACGTTGGGAATCAAGTCATTTAATAGCATTACATCTGCATCGGCTCAGTCATAGTGGCTGGTCCTGGAGTTTCAAACGTGGGCTGCTGAGCATCTTCATCAGACTCACTGCCCCGGGCGTGAAGTGGGCCACCAAGGGTCCTACCAGCTATTTGTCTAATAATACAAAAAATCGGAGCAAAAGGCTCTCGTGAGACCATTGGGATCTTGAAGGAGAAATACTGTTACGAGTCCAGGGTTTCTTCCTAAGGTGTTCTTTGTGCCGATAAAATATATCGCCTTCCGGACATCTTTGTCATTTGAGAACGATTGAGATGAGTTTCCTTAAATTAGCCTTGAGTTTAGCGTGCAAGCCTACTAGTCACTTTCATATTTGAAAATTTTAATTACATCATGTGAATTGTACCCTTTGTAGAATGCTATCCATTTAAATATTTTTAGTTTAAAGACAAGGCAACCTGTGCTGATCAAGCGTAGTTGTATGGCTGGTTTCATAATTACAGACCTTACACTTGGAGTGTGCACATTAGTCATACACAATGAATTACACTGATTCTCAGGGTTTCTAAGGTCCTTTTTGGATAACCCCGGCACACTGTCTGGAGGGAGCTGTTAGGGCAGGACAGGAGTCTCACCTGTCACTCTGTCTCCTCCGCCAACTCCTGGCCCCGCTGCACGTTGTGCTTGGTCAAAGAGAAGAGTGATTTTCCTGTGTCCCCTCTGTAGTGCTTTGCTGACCATCATTTGCTGATTTCAGAAATAAGGCTTGACCATTCCAACAGCAATGGAAGCTCCATACAGGGAGCCTTCTCCGTGTGTATGGCCACACTGGGGAGGCAATGGATGTACCTCAGCGTTTTCAGGTGGTGTAGAGATGAGGATAAATGCCCAGGCTCCACAGACAAACAAACAACACCAGACCAGTCGCTGTCGAGTCGATTCGGACTCATGGGGATCCACGTGTGAGAGTACAGCTGTGCTGCATACAGTTTTCAAGGCTGTGACTTTTCAGAAGCAAATCGCCAGGCCTTTCTTCCGAGGTGCTGCTGGGTGGGTTTGAACTACCAACATTTCGGTTAGTAGTGGTGCGAATGGTTAAGCACTCGACTGCTAACTGAAAGGGTGGTGGTTTGAATCTGCCCAGGGGTTCTGTGGAAGAAAGGCCTGGTGATCTTCTAAAAAATCAGCCATTGAAAACCCTGTGGAGCCCAGGCTCTAGAGTCAGACAGTCTGCTTGGGTTCAAATCCTGGCTTCACCACTTAACTAAGCATATGACTTAGGCAAAAGCTCAGTTTTCTCATCTGTAAAATGAGTCTAGTAATAGGGCTGGGATTAAATACTGAGCGTACGATTTGGCATGTTGTAAATTCTCAACAATTGTTAGTTGTTACTATTACGTCTCAGTCAGAGTCCACGTTGCCTCGTTGAAGGAGAAGGGCTGCATGAGGCAGGCCATGCTTTTCTTCTGTACCATGTACACAAAGTCTAACATGGTGCCTGAGACAGACTGACAGGTGTTAATAAATACTGGGAGCCCTGGTGGTGCAGTGGTTAAGAGCTTGTCTGCTTACCAAAAGGCTGGCAGTTTGAATCCACCAGCTGCTCCTTGGAAACTCTATGGGGCACTTTTTCTCTGTTCCGTAGGGTCGCTATGAATCAGAATTGACTTGAGGGCAATGGGTAACAAATGCCAATCATTTATTAATAAATCGTGGACGAGGTTGATGAGCAACAATCTTCTTTTCCCTGTCTGAGTTCTGGACCAGCTGAGATGGAGGAGGGGAAGACAGAGATTCAGCAGTGGGAGAAAATAGCTTGGTGCAAGTCAGCAGTGAACTACCCACTGTTGTCTAGGTAGACAGCCTGGCCACCCTGCATCCGCAGCCCTCGCCTGCTGCTGGCTGGCTCACGGGTGCCCACCGGCAGAGCGCTTCCTGTGCCACATGTTCCCCACAGCAGGCACATCCTCATGAGAGAGGGGCCCGGCTGTGAATGCGAGGTCCCGTGCCAGACTCCCCCATCAGACTCGTCACTTCTCCTCCACTGGGGAGAAGCGAGGACGTGGAGAAGGGCTGGGGTGTCCACTGGTGGCTGGCCCTCACGTGGAGGCTTGCACAGAGGGAATCAACAGCCATTTGATTGAGAAGCCAGGTGGGAGTCGTTGAAGCTCTGGAGCAGACGTGACCAGCTTGGGTCAGTGTCGAAGCAGACAGAGTCCGTTCCGTTACGACTGGTCCTTTCCAAATCCGCCGGGTACGCGCAGGCCCGCTCCGGGGGTCAGCTAGTTAGTGCCGTGCAGGTGGTGAATGGCGCGCCCCTCTTCCCTCCTCCTTCTCTGGGCCCCTCTTTCTTGTTCTTTGAACCTCAACTCAGACAGCTCCTCTTCAACAGGTTTTCTCAACTACCTTAGTCCAGGTTGTTGTTGTGGGCCGTCGACTTGATTCCGCTCATAGCAACCCTATAGCAACCCGATGGAGCCCTGGTGGTGCAGTGGTTGACAGCTTGGCTGCTAACCAAAAGGCTGGTAGTTCAAATCCACCAGCTGCTCCTCAGAAACCCTACGGGGCAGTTCTACACTGTCCTTTAGGGTAGCTGTGAGTTGGAACTGACTCAACGGCAACAGGTTTGGTTTTTTTGGTTTATAGCAAGCCTGTAGGGTTTCCTAGGCTGTAATCTTTACATGAGCAGATCACCAGGTCGTTTCTCCTGCAGAACAGCTGGTGGGTTTGAATCGCCAACCTTTTGGTTAGCAACTAAGCGTTTAACCACTCTGCCACCAGGGCTCCCTTTAATCCAGGTCAGAGGGCTCTTTCTCTTCTCACCCTGCACCTGTCCTGTGACACTTACACACTGTAATGCACCCACTGTGGTCCTGTCAACCCTCCTGCATGCTGTGAGCTCCTCAGGGACAAGGACCCCCTCTTTCGTCTCTGTGTGTGCCTCATTCCTACTGGGCCTGAGGTCCTGCTTGTTGAAGGAATGAATGACCGCACCCACCTATCCTCAGTCTCCTTGTGTTCACTGTTCAGCCCTTGGTGTTTGGCTTCTCAAAAGCAAGTTCTCAACAAGAATTTAAGAAGGTGCAAGGTGTCCCAATGTAACTGCTGTCATCTCTTCCCAGGCTAGGCCCCACTCAGCTCAAGATCTTCACGTGTGAGTACTGCAACAAGGTCTTCAAGTTCAAGCACTCTCTGCAGGCACACCTGCGGATCCACACCAATGAGAAGCCCTACAAGTGCTCCCAGTGCAGCTACGCCAGCGCCATCAAGGCCAACCTCAACGTGCACCTGCGCAAGCACACGGGGGAGAAGTTCGCCTGCGACTACTGCTCCTTCACTTGCCTGAGCAAGGGCCACCTCAAGGTGCACATCGAGCGGGTGCACAAGAAGATCAAGCAGCACTGCCGCTTCTGCAAGAAAAAGTACTCGGACGTCAAGAACCTCATCAAGCACATCAGGGACGCGCACGACCCGCAGGACCAGAAGGTCAAGGAGGCCTTGGACAAGCTCTGCCTGATGACCAGGGAGGGCAAGCGGCAGCTGCTCTACGACTGCCACATCTGCGAGCGCAAGTTCAAGAACGAGCTGGATCGCGACCGCCACATGCTGGTGCACGGTGACCAGTGGCCCTTCGCCTGTGAGCTGTGCGGCCACGGCGCCACCAAGTACCAGGCGCTGGAGCTGCACATCCGGAAGCACCCGTTCGTCTATGTCTGCGCTGTGTGCCTCAAGAAGTTCGTCAGCTCTGTCAGGCTGCGTGCCCACATCAAAGAGGCGCACGGGGCTGCCGAGGAGGCCGCCGTCTTCCACAGCTCCGTCAACCAGAGCTTCTGCCTGCTGGAGCCTGGAGGGGACATCCACCAGGAAGCCTTGGGGGACCAGCTGCAGCTGGCAGAAGAGGAGTTGGTGTTCCAGGGGGTGAATGCCCCCAAAGAGGCGGCCTGTCCTGCAGATCCTCGGCCTGAGGAGGGCCAGAAGGAGCCGGAGGCCCCTGTGGAAATCCCTGCCCCGGCCGAGCACTCAGCTACCCCTCCGGCCGAAGGTGCCGCCCTGCCCCCCTGCGAGCTGGGAGCCACTGTGGTCTCATCGGCCCTTCCGTCACCTGCGGTGGTTTCCGATGACTTTCTCTTGAAAAACAATACCTCCTCCACTGCTGAGGCTCACGCCGTGCCTGAAAAGACCGTGGACCCCCAGCATGGAGACCCAACCCAAACTCAGGACGAAGGGATCGCACTACTGCTGTCTAAGGACAAAGGCGCTAGCCCGCACCAGGAGCCCCAGGATGCAGAGAGCCCTCCGTGCGAAGGGCAGGACACTGCTGCCCTCCCACCCACCAGCCCAGACCCTAGTGGGTATCTCAGGTCAGGCCCAGCTGAGGCCTCTGAACTTCTTCCTCCCGTGGCGGGTGGTGGGGATGCCATCATCTGCCAGCCCGACTCCTGCAAACCTGCCTCAGAGCCCCAAAGTGACGTTACCCCCTTCATGAAGATCCTAAACAGTTTACAGAAGAAGCAGATGAACACCGGCCTGTGTGAGAGGATCCGGAAGGTGTACGGAGACCTGGAGTGTGAATACTGTGGTAAGGAGGGTGGTGCCGGGCGGGCGAGCGGCTGGCGGGCCTTCTCCTTCCTGGCACCCCGAGCCCCTGCCATTGTGCTCGGCGTCACCTGGGTGTGCTTTGAGCTCGTGTCTCTTTGCAAAGACACCTTCAGAGTGAGCTGTCCTCCTCCACATGCAGACAGGAGTGGGGGCCCGCCCGCGGTGCAGTTTAGTGCCTGGTCTTTTGGAAGGCCACCTCGATGACAGCTCAGTTAAGTGGGCTGGCTTGGCCAGGCGTTCACGCGGAGGTGTGTTCCCACCCCCTCGGAACTTTAACCGCGAAGAGTCGTCTTTGGGCACGTGACACATTTAAAGTAGCGTTAAGCTGTGGCCTTGTTCTGGGTGAGCAGAGCCTGCTAACGTGGCTGCAGCTCCGTGTAGGGAGGCCCTGACTATACCGCCGCAGAGTTACAGAGAAAGTTTGGCTTCTGAAACTCCCAGGGAGCTGGTGGTGCAGGAGAGGACGGCCCAGCTCTGGACCATGTGTCCAGCAGTCAGCAGAGCTTAGAGACTCTGTGATCCACGCATGTGCGTAACAGCAATTGGCACCTACTTGGCCCTCAGTCAACACTGGTTTGTCCTTCCCTAGCTCTGACCTCATGCAAAAATAGTAGCACCCTTAATATTTGCAGTAAGTCTCCCACCTGTGAAAAGTCATTTCCAGACAGAGATGTGGTGGAAAATGTAAAGGGTGACCAGGACACACACTTGAGGGAGAGAAATACAGTAGTTAAAAAATAATCAAAAAAAACAAATCAAATTCAGTGTGAAGGAAACTTCCTTGTTCTGACGTGAAACTATTTTTTTAGGCAAACTTTTTTGGTACCAAGTGCACTTCGACATGCATGTCCGCACCCACACCCGAGAGCATCTGTATTATTGCTCACAGTGTCATTATTCTTCCATCACCAAAAACTGCCTTAAACGCCACGTAATTCAGAAACACAGTAACATCTTGCTGAAGTGTCCCACTGACGGCTGTGACTACTCGACTCCAGATAAATACAAGCTGCAGGCACATCTTAAAGTTCACACAGAGCTGGTAAGTAGCAAGCCCCAGCGGCAGCCTGTTTCCCCTGGGCGCGCGTCGCTTTCTCAGATACTTGCAGATCGAGGTGTCCCGGCTGCAGATACAGCTGAGGGGTGAACCTGAAAAGACAGAGAGGCCCTTCTCACTAAGCCCACCCCTCTTCACTTTCCAGAAGGCCTCGTGCACCCCAGTGTTCCTTTCACAGGGAGATTCTCCAGTGCCTCGAAAAAAAGATGAGATGGAATGAATTTGCTTTCTATGCAAATTCTTCAGGATCGTAGAAAATCTAGAGAGTAAAGGTCTCCAGAGTAGAAATCAAGCAAAGAGTTCTTACATGACGTTTTAAAGAATTATTAACAACAGAGATGATAATTACAGCTGCCCCTAAAGGTTGCTGGAGGTTGAATTAGATACTGCATGACAAGTGCCAGCTCAGTGTTCGGTTCATGGCAGTCGGTACGTGTTGATCACCACTCTCGTGATACTATTACGATGTTATTTATAGTAAACTCTCTGTGAGCCAGTGTCTGTGACGCACTTTTATTTAGGAAAAATAGTGATATGTTAATTCAAGATACGTAATCAAATTAATATTCACGATGGTAATATTTCTTTGTTTCTTGGGCGATCATGCCACACAATGAATGAATGTTGATTTTTGCAAGTTCTGCTCTAACTCAGGAGGCTGATACCTGAGAGTGATTTGAGCAGGCCTGGCCCCAGGTGTGGCTCTTTGTTGCCGTGTTCTGCTCGATGCTTCAGACAGCACAAAATGAGGCTCCAGACACTTGCTGGGCTACCCCTGTTTTCTGGCGTGAAGAACCACGAACGCCCTAGCAGTTTGAATTGAGGGTTTTGGGTAAAGTGGTTAGGTAAGAGCATAGTACTCTGGAGTTAGAGATACCTGGATTCCAGTACTGCATCTAGCAGCTCACAAGCTGTGTGGCCTTGGGCAAGTCACTTGACCTTTCTGAGGCCTAGTGCCCTTCCTGTAAAATAAAGATATATATGTATAAATATATATAAAATGTAGTACACACACACAAGTATACCTGCATGTATACAGACATGTATCTATAGACATGCATTCACACATATTTGTGTGAGCGTGTGTTTATAAGTGTCTATATTGGGAGATTCTAATAAGGTAGTTCCTGATTTACGACAGGGTTCCATTCCCACGACTCCATCGTTAAGTCCGTTCTGACACAAATCAAGGACCTTAGTTTATTTTTTTTTAGTTTTCATTATTATTGCGTTTTATAAATCTGATCTTTATTTGTCTTTGGGGTTGGCATGAGAATGATAACACCAGCAAATCACTTGCTGCGGCATAGTGTGTAGTACATATTACTAGCAATAAGAAAACACCAACAAAGCAAAACAAAAAAGGGTGGTCGGGAGGGTGGTTCATTGTAACACGAGTATGTTGTACGTCGGGGACTGCCTGTAAACTGCTCTAGACGAAGAACTTGGCACAGTACTAGTCATATAGCTAACTGTGTGTATCAGCTGAAGACAAGGATTGTGTTGGTGCTATCTGTGCTGTTAAAGGTGAACGTGCAGCTGCTACTTCTGAATCTCACTGACATGGGTTGCAGGCCCCAGTCTCTATGTACCATGCATCGGGATTTCAAATCAGAGTAAGATCTGGCTCTGCCTTCAAGGCACTCTTTGTTTTGTAGGAACATAAACAAGTAAACATACTGGCCATATGGCAATGCGGGAGGGCATATTAGTCACAGTTCTCCAGAGAAGCAGAACTAACAGGACACACACACACACACAGACACACACACACATTGGGGCAGTGGTGGTTCGTTGGTAGAATTCTTGCCTCCTATGTGGGAGACCCAGGTTTGATTCCCAGCCGGTGCACCACGTGTGCAACCACCACCCATTTGTCAGTGGAGGCTTGTGTGTTTCTAGTTGCTGAGCAGATTTTAGTAGAGCTTCCAGGCTGAGATGGACTAGGAAGAAAGGCCTGGCACTCTACTCCCGAAAATCAGCCAGTGAAAATACTATGGATCACAACGGTCCTATCTGCAGCCCATAATGGGAACAGCATAGGACTGGGCAGCGTTTTGTTCAGTTTGTCCATGGGGTTGCCATGAGTCAGGGACCGACTCAACAGCAGCTCACAACAACATATATGTATATATGTAGAGGAAGACCCTTAACAAGATGGATTGACACAGTGGCTGCAACAATGAGCTCAAGCATAATGACGGTTGTGAAGATGGTGCAGGACTGGGCAGTGCTTCATTTCGTTGTACATGGGGTCGCTATGAGTCAGAACCAACTTGACAGCACCTAATAGCGTGTGTGTGTGTGTGTGTGTGTGTGTGTGTGTGTGTGTGTGTGTGTGTGTACAGACAGAGACAAAGATTTTTAGAGATTTATTTTAAGGAATTGGCTCATGTCATTGTAGAGACTGACAAGTCCAAAATCCACAGAGTGGGCTGACTGGAAACTTAGGCAGAACGTCTGTGTTACAGTCTTGAGGTACAATTTCTTCTCCTTGAGGAACTTTAGTTTTTGCTCTTAAGGCCCTCAACTGATTGGACGAGGCCCACCCACATTCTCAGGGTAATCTCCTTAGAGTTAAGTGACGGTAAATGTTAATCCCATGTAAATACCCTTACAACAACATCTGAACTAGTGTTTGACCAAACAGTTCGGCACCATAGCCATTGACGCATAAAATTAAGTGTAAGAGAGGGTAAGTGAGGTCAGCCAGAAGTGCCCTCTCCCTCCCCGATCCCAGAGAGGGGCAGGCAGAGGTAAAGAAAGGCTTCCTGGAGGAGGGATTCTGAGTTTGATGAGTAAGATTTGGCGCCAGGAAGGCAGCTTACGAGGAATTTCCCAACAGAGTCAACAGCACAAACCAAGCAAAGCCATCCAGATTGATACTAGGGTACTAAACTCTGTGTATTTTTCATGAAGCAGGTAGGTAGATTGTATCGCCAGTTGAATGAGATGGCATAATTGTGAAAACAAGGTTCGTGTATTTTGAGCTTAGACAACATTTGTCTTTTGAGTCAGTAAATTATCTATGGAATGAAGCTAAAGGTACCATGGAAATGTTGATGTGGTAGAAAGGTTACCCACTTCCTCTGAACAAGGACCCTCTTGATCTGATAATTAAGGTGCTGTCACCCAGTCAACAGTGCTTTAAATGGAGCTTAGTGTCTGCAAGGGAAGTCCACTAAGATGGAACTCCCAACTACAGAGTGTTTAAATCCACAGGATCCGATCTAATACTTTGTGAAGTCTGCTGAGTACCGTGTGCCGTCTCTTGGAGGTGAAGTGTTAACTTCTCCTTGGAAAGGTTTTCGGAAATTATAAAGCAGATAAGAGTCATGTGGCTCCCAATATTTCTCATTGCCACCCCCATGAATATTTAGTGGTGTCATCTTCACTGTCCCCTTGTCCTTCATCTGTCACTGTTCTTGATCCTGGTGGGTCATCACTGCCGTCAAGTGGATATTCGTGGGGATTTGGAGTCCCAGCTCCAGCTCCCGGTTGTGCCGGCTGTCGCCCTGGTGCAGACAGCTATGTCTTCCTTTCCTTCTCCATAGAGTGAAGTGAATAACCCGCCCTGCTTTCTCCGGAAAGGGCGACACTCCGATAAGATATCGTGGATGTGCTGGCTCACTGATCATGGAAGGGCCCTGCTGAGTTGGGAGAGCCGTGCCGCTTAGCCTGGGAAAAGCTTGGGACCTGGAACAAGTTCTTGAATCGATACGGGGCTTGGTTTTCTTATCAGTGACCCAAAGGTTGAAACCAGGCTCAAATTTTGTTCTGTGATCTGGCATTTACCTGCTTTCAGTGCAGATTCCCATGAAAAGCAAACACTAAGGAAATTTAAAATAGCAATCCCCCCCCCCCAATATCCGCGTCTCTGGGTGGCGCAAATGGTTTGCTCTCAGCTGCTCACCTAAACGTTGGCAGTTCCAACCTACCCAGCGGTGCTGCAGAAGGAAGGCCTTGCAATCTGCTCCTGTAAAGATTACAGCCAAGAAGACCCTATGGAGCCATTCTCCCGTGTAACACATAGGGTTGCCATGATTCGGAATTGACTCAACAGGAATAGGTTTGGTGTTTTAGCTTTTTACGACTCTTAAGAAAATTTAATTCTAATAAAAACTATTGAAAAGAAATCTCCAGATGGGCATAACAATCCTCATCTCCATGGCTGCTCATGAATTTAGTGAGACTGTGTTTGTAAGGGACATGGCATGGTCCCAGGCACCTAATAAAAGCCAGACAGGCAGCTCTGCCTTCTTTCTGGAAGGAGGAGGAATAGTCATAGTGGTGTGGTGGTATCTGATGACAGGTCTTAAATTCATACTTGGCCGCTGTCTTTGAGAAGTGCCTAGTCTGTTTTTGGCTATAAACATACATACATTAAAAAAAAAAATTAAATGTACTTGCTAGAAATAAGGTAAAATAATATATTGTCCACAAAGCACGGAGAAATGAAAGGAAACTATTCCCAATATCTTTCTGGAAATGAATGCATCCACTTGGTCAGGATTTTTTTTTTTTTTTTAAAGTGGAAGACAGTGTCATTTAACTGAAGTGGTCGGATATAACCTTTTTTCTTTCCAAGAGCTACAACAATATGGTCTTTTCTTATTTGATCATAAGTAAGTGTGTTTCTTTGGAAGACCAAAGAATTCACGGCTTTGAATTATGGTGTTGGTGAAGAATATTGAATATACCATGGACTGCCAAAAGAATGAACAAATCTGTCTTGGAAGAAGTACAGCAAGAATGTTCCTTAGAAGCAAGGATGGAGAGACTATGTCTCACATATTTTGGACATGTTATCAGGCAGAACCAGTCCCTGGAGAAGGACATCATGCTTGGTAAAGTAGAGGGTCAGTGAAAAAGAAGAAGACCCTCAATGAGATGGATGGACACAGTGGCTCCAACAATGGGCTCAAGCATAACAACAATTGTGAGGATGGCGCAGGGTCGGCCAGTGTTTTGTTCTGTTGTACATG